TTATAAGCTTTTTGGAAAACAACCTTTGGTAACGATAATATATTCAAGATCCTTTTGATCTTTAGATTAATACTTTGAAGAGTTAAGGTATTATCAGATTATTACTGGATCGATTTGATTATAGGTACTTGAGGGCACAAGTTCCCCTTGTAACAATACTGTATTGTATAATATCGAGAAATAAAAGAAAGTATCATATTTGCCCAATCTATATATGGGTTGTAGCGTTATAACCATAATAAGCCAAAAATGACTAATATATTAGAAAAAAGTTTTGTAATAAAGAATATTCAGGTTTCTAAATGTAATCCCATTGCTATAAGCATAATAAAGTATTTCGTAATGATATCTGCTACATTGCCATCGGCTAGACAAAACTATTAGCAATAGAGTAAAAGTTGAATATGAATTTTATATTGATTGACAAATAATCGATTAGCGAATACTTTATTGGAATACCCGCTATCAATCAGATTGATTATATTAAAGAGGGAAGTGTACATTGGAAATATAATAGTTTGGATAAGTAGAGATTTGTTATTTATAGAGCTGAATTGTAACAACTCAGTACTATCTATAGTGTGTTTTATCCATTCCTTGTTTCTTAATAACCTCTACAGCCGACTTATTGTGGAGGTGATACATTTCCCGGGAACTTGTATATATTATTGAATAGTGATGATAATATTGTACTATTGTATGAAGAGATATTAAAAGCACTTTCCGAGAATGCTAAAGAACTATTCTCAACATAGCCATGAACTGTATTAAGCTATTATTGTGTGTAGAGCTGTTGTTAATAATCATATTCCCAAAAGTCATTCTAATTATAATTACTATTGCCTTCGATATTGTTCACCTCAACCAAATTATTGATTTCCTCTTTCAATATTACTACAATTATATCCTGATATCTCTCTTAGGGGTCCTGTATTGTATTCTCTAGCTATTCACTATATATCGACTTGTTTTTTCGCATCGCAATCCCAAATAGAGTGATCTGATTTCTTATAGTAATAGTAAAGACCGAAACAGCGCTCCTCCTCGCATTATTATATCTTGTTTTGGAATTTAATAGTATCAAGCTCCATAGAATCACTATATAAAGCGATAACAAATATAGAAAGGATTGTATTAAATCGAGATTAATTATAATTGTTTTTTTGATAAACCTATATTATAATAATTATTTTCCTAGCAATTCTGATTCCAAATTGTGAATTTCTTTCTTTATTCTTATAATATTATTTAGTATACAAAAGCTTTGAGTCTATACAAACTATAAGTTTAATTCTTTAGAGACTTTTGCTTTAAAACAAGAACTATCTCGATCAGACTGTGTAACATTGATTGTCTAAATATTCTAATTATATATAGAATATTGCAAAGGCCTTATTTCTTCAACATTTGAGTTTATCAAACTGAAATCGCTGCTTCCCACTCAGAGTCGATTATAATATAAAGGCTATCAAGCTTTTTGAGGAATAAATCGGCGATTGTATAGATCAAATTATTTTGTAAAATGTTATTAATATCTTTAATTGTTTTTGATATATATATCATCCTTAATAAGGGAGATTATATATAAAAGTTTCTTCTTCTTAATATTAAATACAATAAAATTTCAGATATCCAGTAGATTTGTAATTCTTGTTTTTTAAATTAAATATTCATTTTGTTATATTATTATATCAGTCTTCTTTCTTTAAAGGTTTTTGGGTTTTTAAAGATTGTTGCTAAATGCTAGTAAATGAGTTGAGGGTTTGGGCTGATATGTTTTGTAGTAATTGGGAAAGCTGGTTTTATAATACTATATTCAGTTGTATCTGGGTTTGTAAGTGGGTTTGTATATCGGTTAGGGCTATACGCTCGTTACTCAGATCTGCATTTATCCTAATCTATATAGTATGAAATAACTTTAATAAATTATTAATAACGCTATATAAATAGTGTAAGTATGATTGTTTTATCCTTAGAAAGACTGAGCGCTGGGTTTTGAAGATCGGGGTTGGAGATGCTTGAAAGTTTACTCGCGAGCTATTGTTATTCAGCAAAAACAGTTCGAATACTTATTCTAAGATTATCGAGTATTTGAATTCTGTTTTCTGTAAACAACGAATTAGGTGTATTTGTCATTTTAAAGGCAAAACAAAGATAAGGATGAAATGAAGACGAGAACGAAAATGAAGATGAGGACGAAGATGAGGGGCGAAAATGAAGATGAGGGTGAAGACGAAGTCTTTATCAGAATATTGTTGTTAAGATCAGATTGCTATTAACATATAGTAACAGGACTTTTAAGAAGGTAGAATATATATCAACGGTGTAAGGAATAAATACTAGATTGAATATATGATATTCTATAAAGAGGTTGAAAATGGTATGATGTAACTTTGCCATATAATGGCAAAGATGACTAAGCATCCACTACGCTAATATACTACTCTAGTGAACCCGTGACACCAACTTTATATTCTATAATTTTAGGAATATACAAATTCCATAAGTAAATACTCCTACAAAATTATCTAATGATAATGATAATTCAGATAATAGTAATAATTGGAGTAATAATTAAAGTAATAATAATAATAAAAGTGATATAATAGAAATAATAAAAAAAAGATTCTTTTGATTATTCTAATTATAAAAACAACAATTAATATAATAAGAGCTATTGTTTTAATTAATCTTTCGAAAATCTATAAAGATAATAATAGATATAAGAATATTAATAATTTTTTTTAATTTAAAAATCTTTATATTTAAAGAATATTATTATAAAGTATTTATATTAATAGAAATGATTATAATAATCTTTCTAATTATACTTGTTAATATAGTTAGAGATTATTATTAATTGAATCTTAATAGTCTTTCTAATTTATATCAAAACTTGTATAATATAATAATCAATAATTTCAAAGAATCTAAATATCAATAGAATATATTTTTCAATAGAATAATATCATTTTCAAGATTATATTAAAAAAAATCTATTCATAAAGTCTTAGGAAAGATTTAATATAATAATTATAAATTTATACTTCCTTTGATATCCTATTTTAGAATTATATATAATCTTAATCATATTTATATTAGGATTTTGTCTATATATAATAGTATTTCGAAATATTATTTTGTACTATATAATCCTTATTCGATTATAATAAACTTATTAATCAAATTAAATGAACTATTATTTTTGTCGAAAAGTATTTTCAAAATTATATTCTTTATTTGAGATATTCCTTTATAAATCGATATTTCTATAACAATACTATTTTGAATTCTTTTTTTTGAAAACTTTATAATAAATATATTGATTGATAGTTTTTCTTTGTATTAATGTTGGTTCGAGAGAGATACGGAAGACCGTGGTTCCCACTATCAGTAGGCCCCTAAATGTCTATTTGTATTCAATCTCTAAAGAGCTAGCTAATAAGGGGAAATAATAGGCCTTATATAGGCACTACTGAAAGAGCTAGTCTCCTTCGCATTCGCCTAAATACCTTTGATACAGTAGCCATTGTATTGAAGTCATTCTTTTGAAGTGAATTCCCTTGTTCACACAATTAATTAATAAAACAAGGATATTGTTATTTCGCTAAATATAAGAAAAAGAATTATAAATATTATAAATATATATAATAGGAAAAAGATTGACTTAAAACAATTATTATATCAAGTATAACAATTTCGATAATAAGAGCTTTACAAATTAATATAATCAATTCTTATTAATATTGAACAAAAAAGTAATCAAAATATAATGATAATAATGATGATAATAATAATAATATAATAATAATATAATAATAATAATAATAATAATAATAATAATAATAATAATAATAAATAGATTTCGCTAGCCTAAATCTAATAAATCTAATAAATCTAATCCCCTCCTCTTTCTAATCCCCTCCTCTTTTTAATTTCTTATCTCTCTTATCACAAGTCCCGAACCTCCGAACCAATCAGAAATGTTTATTCAATTCTTCAATCTCTCCACTCTCTAATCAATTATTTCTTTCATTAACTATAACTTATCAATATAAAAATTATATCATTAGAAAACTCTCAATTTATAGAATCCTAGAACCCTTCGATCTCATTTTATGAATTCTCTGCTCTTGATTTGTTGTTTGATTGTTGATTCTTGAGTTCAAATATTTTGATATTCGCGCACGGGGCATTCGTACTTTTTCTCGACCAATCAGCTTCCAGTTATGAACCGTGTTTTAAATCCTGTATGTTAGGGATTCATTCAAGATTATACATCAAATCAATATAATTTCCTAGATTTTCTATTTCATTTAATTAAAAAAACTAAGTTTTATTATTAAAATGTTTTATATATTATATATAATTTATTGAAAAATGATTTTGCAAATCTATTAAATAATTACAATAATTTAATTAATTATTAAATTTTTTTTAGATTACAGATTTATAAAATCTCTTCTTTCTTATTAATTCCTATAATAATTTCAAAATCCTATATATTTATAGATTTCAAATTCCGTTTTCTAATTATCTCATGTTAATTTAATATTTATCTAAATATGAATTATATAAATAATATTAATCATTATAATAATACAAATAATATCAATTAAACAAATAATCCCAATAATACCGAATTTAAATCTAAATCTAATTTTTATTTTTATTTAATATAAAATATATAAAATGATAATTAAAATAAAAATAAGATAGTCTAAATCATGTGATGTATGAGATACTCAACTCAACTCTTGAATCAAACTCTCTTATCTAAATCAATAATTTTATATAACTAATCTTTAACATGTATAAAGCTATCACGCCTAATTAAACCTATATAAGCTATCTGTTCATCCGCTCATGCACTCATAAATACAAGAACCCCCAGACCCTCCAAACGAAAGTCATCATGACCGGAAAGGCCCAGCTTAACCTGACCCTATCCACTGTCTTAGTAGTCTTGGTATTGGGGATTATATCCAACAACTATTCAACTATTCAACTTGGAAACACAATGTTAGGAACAATTCATGATGCGGTTGGAATTTGACGTGCCTATATCACCCAGTTCTTGCCATCTTTCGATGATCTGCTCGTTATCCAGACTAGCTATGATTTGAATCGCGGTGGTTTGTTCTTTGGTAATATATTTTTCAATATCAGTTAGATCCGAGGTGATGTTTCTCCATCTGCCTAAAGTCTCGTCAATATTTTTTATAACGGCTAGCGTATGTATGCATCTATTCAAATCACTCACCTTGTTCCGCTTGCATTTCATTGATCATAATTCCCATCTCATCGCACACTGCTTGGGCATCACCGGTTACTTGGGATGCCAATTGCTTTCAGTTATAAAACCAAACATTAGTATAGTAGTGAGTTATCCACCCAGCCATTCATTCATCTCCATAGAGATACAGATCTTCGTTCCACTCTTCTGGTACTGGAGAACACATACCGTATATCCCAATGCAGATATACACCGTCTTACTGTTGCTGAAGAATTTCTATCTTCGGCCCCGATAACGAAGATACTTACCTCAGCCGCAGTAAGTTTGCATTCACGATCCAGATCGGTGACATTCTGGTTAATACTTTCAATCCGCGAACTGAGAGTCGAGCTAATCTCCATGAGGGTTGTTACAAGGTCGGATGCTGTTTGTTCCATCTTGCTGCTGACATTGGATCGCTCTTCAACAATGGCATGCAAGCCTTGGAGATCATCGGCGTTGGGAGTGTTATCCACTGCAATTTGCGCGCTTAGTTGGCCCAAGTAATTTAGGGCTAAATCTGCAGTCGGTGATGTGAGTAGAGCTCAAGACTCGGTGTTTTACGAGCAGCTGTGAATAGATGAAAATTTTCACCTACTATATCTCAGGTGTGCCGTACTCGCATAGGATTGGAAGTAATCCTTTAGATTCCCATACGATGTATACACTTCTTGCTTTGTGTGGACAGATAAGATCAGCTGACTTAAATCAAATAACAAGATATTAAAGCATGCATGCAAAGTGGGTAGGTTGGTGGAAATCACCTCAATCCTCAGTCGCTGATCTGCGACCTATTTGAATGATCAGCCTCAACATCTCCATGTCCTTTCCAAAACTGTATCGATGTCATATATAGATGATCTATGCGCATGGGATTATCTTACTGTCTTGTAGTCACCAAGAAGAGTTATAGCAGCCTCAGGCAGGGGCAGTTTCTCGTAGTCTGTACCAGGGTAGAAATATTTTTCACCGCCGTAGGCTACAACATACTGGGTGAAAGTCGTGGGAAGGTCATCTGAGCTTTGGAAATTGTCCATACTCGTGGTGTCTATTCTTTGATACCAATAATGTTTAGAAGAGTCAACGAGGCCCACAGGCTGCAAAGTGATGTTACTCATGACGGTAATCTAAGAGTGGATCTCATAAAAAGAGCAAGTAGAGTGAAGAATGTGGTTTGTAAGTTCGAACAATCATGGGAGATATATATATGGCAGTTTTTCATCTCAAAACTTAAGTCAGTATCCTAATACTGTACTACCGCCGGTTTTATAGCATATGTTACTTCTACTACGCTGTGCTCTTTGCGCTCCCACTCACATCATCACTACCCGATCTCAAGATGAAGTCTTCAATCGTCGGCGACCACGCAGGGTTTATTCCAGGTTTTGCCTATCAGTTAAGAGTAGGAATAGGAAGAATTCACTCAATTCAGACATTGCAATTGGATAAAGCACGTTTTTTATTATCGCAAATTGTCATCAATCGAGGTTCACAGCATATATCAACATCACGTATCAACGTACAGAACACACCACTTTAAGCATGGTACAGTTGAACAGCAGAAAGTTGTATCATCGCTATGTTACCGTGAGGCATTCATTCCGAATTGTTTATTTCCAAGATATACTGTACAATCGGAATCTGCGAGTGATGTTGCAGTAAACATTGTAACGTACAACCATGTCACAAGGGGATGGCAAGTGAGGAACTTGAATCTGCTTGCAAGCAAGTCTTGAGATGTATTAAGAAGTATAACCACTGAGGAGATCCGGGGCCTTGTACTTCATACATGAATGCTGTAATAAAACATCGGCCAATATGAGATAGGTAAAAATATTCCTAGGCAAGCGAACCCCTTTTGAAAAGACAACTCGCTAGCAGATGCACAGTCATTCTCAAACACTTAAACCAATTCAACAGATCAAAACTGCAAACAGAAGCGTTCGTACTTGAAATGGTTTATTCTTCAAATCTCACTCAACCATTACATCATATAGATTTACATTTAAGCATTCAAAAAATTATTATGAAAGTAACATCGTTAGCTAGCTAAGGAAATGAATGGGGGTAAAAATAATCTTCGAGATCTTATAGATCTTCCGCTGATTCCAATAAGAAAAAAAGTTGTGCAAATGCAATATTTCGGCTGAGTTCGACAAAAACTGGAAATGAAGTGAAGTACTTTAGTCTCAATCACCATACATAAATCAAAAATGTTCCATACATTCATGAAACATTTGTTCGATTCAGCGTTTAATTGATTGATTGATTGATTGATTGATTGATTGATTGATTGATTGATTGATTGATTGATTGATTTAATTAACGTCCTTTTCTCAGTCCAAGATTATTTAGGATGGCTAGGCTTTAAGAACCTAATAACTGCTAGTAGATATCTACAATAAATATATTCAATTTGGGGGAGTAAAAACGAATACTAGAGTACTATGCCTGATCTTTATTTGGAGTGTAAATAGAGATTAAATAGTTTTTATTCTCTGAGATACTTCCTTCCTTATTTTTCTTCTATCCCTAATTCAATTAAAGTATTCCAATATCCAATTTCTCTTTTTAAAATTCTAAATCCAATTTGTTATTCCTCTTTTTCTATAAAAGGCAAGAATTATTCTCTTCTGAATTGCCTTCAATATAATAAAGGATCCTCTTACTAGTAAGGTAATAGAAGCAATAATCAATACAAATCACATAATCTATAAACTACTTTTATACTATATATATATATATTATAAACATAATACCATGATATCGTCAATATACGATTATGAGCAATCTGTCACACTGCCGAGTATATCGGGTTGCAATCCAATCACTCCAACAACAATAACAATAACCATATTAATAATTAAAGCGAATAGAGATAATAATATACAATCTATTTATAAAATAATAATTAATTAATTCTATAAAAAAAACAAAAAGCAATAAATAACTCTAAAGATTACAAATATAATCGATATGTGTATTAAAACCTTAAGCAAGATAGAATTAAGCTACGCCGATATATTAAGGTTTGTATATATCGATAATATAATTAAGATTATAAAACAAACCAGATCTATACAAAGAATCCCTATACTAATCACAAAAATAATCTTAAAGAAAATTACTAAATCCTATATTGATACATTTAAGACTGGGAAGGCGCTTCAGATATTAAAAAATACTAAGGTGAGTATATTCAAAATAATGGAAACGATATAAAAGTATAAATAATAAGAGCGAAATAATTGTACAATTCTTATTTATTTATTTATTTTATTTATTTATTTATAGTGATTAACGTCTTGTGGGGGACCTCCCTAGGGGTATGAAAGACGTGGCTAGATCTAGAGTTACAAATACAGAAAGGCGCTGATACGCACGCTAGTAAAACCTCATAGGGTAAACCCAGTTCCTTCTATATATCCTAAACAAGCTAGTGTAATGTTCGCAAATAGGGCCGTTTGATCGGCCCTATATTCCTAACGCTTCCTACTACTCGTAGAAAGGAGCGCTCTGATTGTACGATTACTCCTGCCATAAAACCATATGAGCAGGAGCAGTGTATACAGGTATATTGCTTCAAAGAAACAGGTGTGTGTGTAATGGTGCTCCATGGGAGTGGAGGATTCGGCTATTGGGCCGCTCGAGAAGAGCAGCCGGAACGATGATTCCACTGAGTAGCGGAGTGGCGCATAGGCGCAGTGGTAACAGCTGGAAGGGGGATCAGTTCCCCTTCAGTATTCGATCGATCGCTTTTGCGGCCCATAATAGAAAGGCTCTATTAGGGTTAGCGGTAGATTGTCGGAGCTCAGTGGAGCTGTGTCAAGAGGTCCACACTAAGGTGGCCTATGAGGCGGCATATAGGGTGGATCCATGTGGATCAGATCGCTATAGCCTTAAGTTGTAGAATAGTGGGAGAGTGGACCGATCACTCTACCACTGAACCAGCCGGGCTCCTTGCGGAGGACAATGGTCTTTTTGTCTGTGTACAATTCTTATAAAGATAGGAAATAGGTAATAAATGATTATCAATAACCTTTTCGAATTGTAATTGAAAATTATAAAAACAGTTTCTGAATTAAGGCTCGAACTAATCCCCTCGCTTCATCGCAATAGAATAAAATAGACTCTAGAATATAAAATACTAGAAGAATATAAAAACCTTTTGTGAAACAAAAATTGTATATAACTGATTATTGTGTTTAATATAGATAATACTCAAGCCATAAAGATCTGATATAATTATATTATACCTCAAATCTCTTATAATATATTAAGTACACTTATAATACTTTTAAATATAATTATTCAAAAAAAGATTAAGATATAAATAAAAAAGAAATCAATACAATATAGAGTCTTTAAATACAGGGTAAACTCTTTTATAAAAAAGGTTAATTAGATTATTAGTTTTAAGAAAATAATAAAACCATTTTGGTTATTTAATATTAATAAATATTCAAAGCCTCTTAATAGATTGCAATACCCTCAATTACAAAAGTATTCCAATAAATACTAGTTATACTATAATCTGTATGTATATTATTATCCGGCTTGCTATTTTATATATAGTAAACTAACTGCTAAATATACTAATAAAAAGATCTATAAATAATACTAAAATAATATTTAATATATAGAATATCTAGAATTTTTTTAATCTATATATAATAATTACCCAATAATATTATAATTAATCAATGGAAAACTGATTAGGCTTACCTATTAATAAATAAAAGAAATCAGGATTACTAACTAAAAGAAAATTCAGGAAGTATACAAAAAAAAGACATCTACTCCAATACTAGTCAAATAGTTTTAAGTAGTTATCCCCAAACTCCCTATATCAGAAACCTGCATTATTATCTATAAAAACGAATAATAATTGGTAAATCGATTATCCAAACAAACTCGATTAGAAAAGAGCCCCTCCAACAATCCGATTTATACTCCAGGCCGTAATCCTCCGTGTTATGCTAATAAAGGAGTAAATTATAATGTAATAGTTATAGCTAAAAAAGCCTTCTTATCTTTTGACTCTGAAATGAGCGAAGGGAGTGAGTCAAACATTAACAAAATTGTTATTACTTTTATATGAGTTATATAATTAGTGTAAATTCAATAGAAAAAAGGGGGTTTACGATTGTATAGGTGAATATAGAGTGCGGATACTTCAATCATATTATCCTTCTACAGATTGCTGGAAAGGCTGATATGGATATCATTTGTATTTAAGAATCCCGATTGTATAATAATTCGGCAATTCAAAATTATGTTGTATATAATCGATATTAGTTAATCGATATCTGGGAGTGGCTGATGGCTTTAAATGTAGGCTACAAATAATCATTTATATATGAAAAGGAGGTAACTTGAAGATTAGATAAATAAGACAAATCGAAAACAGAGATCTATTTTGAATCAATATTAATAGGTATTCGATCCTTAATACCTACTATACTCTGCTTGATCTATTAACAATAGAATATATACTCGGACTAGAGATTGCTTTAGGAATTGGTATGGTTATTAGAAATGACTTCAATACTAAATATAATCTATGGGAATCCAAAATAGTAATTACTAATTAAGGTGATATACTTGTATAATGAATTGTTGAATAGGGAATGGAATATATCGAAACCCCTAATGCCCTTATATATACAAGGGGATACATTCTGGATCTAATCTTTTCTAATTTGACTACCACTACGATAGTAATCGATAACGATTTGTACAGCAATTCCAATCATGCTATTCAAGTTACTACTATTTCGAATAGAGGAATTTTTGAATACAAACAAGCGTATATCCGGATTCGCAATTCAGATTTACCCTACCTGGTAGGTATAATAGTCAATCGCTTAGTGAACCTCCAAAACCCGGATTTCCGGTTTATCTATAATATCAACAAATTGATTGCCAGACTTATAAGCACACTAAGCGTCTCTATAGTAACTATAGAGTAGAAAGGCTATAAACCCTATTAATCATCCTTGTAGTGGATTGATGAGTGTAAGAAGGTATACCGAATATATACACAAGTTAGGAGAACTAGAACTACTAATAAAATGGTAACTATTCAATAGGATCTATAGAGAGTTGTGCGAATATC